GTTTCCAGGTCATGAATGAGGTTTGCTACGAGAAGGTACTTGACCAAGCGGGCAAAAATCAGACCCTTGTCTTCGTGCACTCTCGCAAGGAGACCGCCAAGACCGCCAAGTTCATCCGCGACATGGCCATGGAGAAGGAGACGATAACGCAGTTCGTTCGTCCCGACTCAGCGACGCGTGAGATCCTCACGGAGGAAGCAGGCAATGTCAAAGATGGCAATCTGCGCGACCTCTTGCCGTTTGGGTTCGCTATTCACCACGCCGGTATGACTAGAGAAGACAGGAATCTTGTCGAGGAGCTTTTCGCAGATGGTGCAGTCCAGGTTCTTGTCTGCACAGCAACGCTCGCATGGGGTGTGAACCTCCCGGCACACACCGTCATCATCAAGGGCACGCAGATCTATAATCCGGAGAAAGGCCGCTGGGTTGAGCTCTCTTCCCAGGATGTGTTGCAGATGCTTGGTCGTGCCGGTCGTCCGCAATATGACACGTATGGCGAGGGCATCATCATCACGAACCACGCTGAGCTGCAATACTACCTCAGCTTGCTGAACCAGCAACTGCCGATCGAATCTCAGTTCGTGTCGAAGCTTGCGGACAACTTGAACGCAGAGATTGTTCTTGGAACAGTTCGCAACCGTGATGAGGCCGTCCAGTGGTTGGGGTACACTTATCTGTAAGCTCACTTGTTCCCAAAGCGGTAAAAGTGCTGACATTTCCCACAGTTATGTCCGCATGCTGAAGTCCCCAGGACTGTATGGTGTTGGCGTGGATTACCAGGAGGACGACAATGGTCTTATCCAGAAGCGTGCTGATATTGCCCATTCTGCCGCCGTTCTGCTGGAGAAATGTCATCTCATCAAGTACGAACGTGCGTCTGGTCGTTTCCAGAGCACCGAGCTTGGTCGTATTGCGTCTCACTACTATGTTACATACAATTCGATGGCTACGTACAACCAGCATCTTAGGCCAACCATGTCGACACTGGAACTCTTCCGGGTGTTTGCGCTCTCGAATGAGTTCAAACTTCTGCCGGTATGTCACATATTTTCTGTTTGTAGTATGAGTCTCGACATTCATATCCATTTTTGTAGGTGCGTCAAGAGGAGAAGCTTGAGCTTGGTAAATTGTTAGAACGTGTGCCTATTCCTGTGAAGGAAGGCGTCGATGAACCTGCAGCGAAGATCAACGTCCTCCTACAAGCATATATATCGCAACTCAAACTTGACGGTTGGTAACGATTCAGCCGTCTACATATTGTGCTGATTGGATGATTAGGCTTTGCTCTCGTGGCCGATATGGTCTTTGTTCAGCAATCTGCTGGCCGGTATGTGTTGTTTTAAGTCAGTTTACCCAACTCACACATGTCACAGTATTCTTCGTGCTATGTTTGAGATTTGCCTGAAGCGAGGGTGGGCAGTGCCAGCGCGTGCATGTCTTGACCTATGTAAGATGGTCGAGCGACGAATGTTGGTAGTTTTTAATAAGGTCGTTGATCATCAACTGATTGTTTGGTTTTCAGGTGGGGCTCCATGACACCGCTTCGTCAATTCAAGGGTGTTCCACAGGAGGTCATCCGAAAAGCAGAGGGCAAACAATTCGTAAGTTTGCATCAGTTCAAGTAAGGGACGTACTAAGATAATTTTCATTAGCCATGGTATCGCTACTTTGATCTCGACCCTCCTGAAATTGGTGAGCTCATCGGCATTCCAAACGCCGGAAGGCTCGTGCATCGATTGGTGCACAGCTTCCCCAAGTTGCAGCTGCAAGCGCAAGTGCAGCCTATCACCCGCTCTCTTCTTCGTATCGACTTGTCTATTGTTCCTGACTTCCGATGGGATGAGAAGACCCACGGAACAGCTGAAACGTTCCTCATCATGGTTGAAGACGTCGATGGAGAGATTGTTCTTTTTCACGACTCATTCGTTTTACGCCAGCGCTATGCAGAGGATGAACATAACGTCACCATCACGGTTCCGATGTTTGAGCCCGTCCCCCCGAACTACTACATATCTGTTGTATCCGACCGATGGTTACATGCCGAGACCAGACTACCGATCTCCTTCAAACACTTGATTCTCCCAGAAAAGTTCCCACCTCCCACTCCTCTTCTCGATCTCCAGCCACTCCCGCTGTCTGCCCTACACAACAAGGAATTCGAGAGCATCTACTCATCCACCATTCAAACATTCAACAAGATCCAGACGCAGGTTTTCCAAGCTCTCTACACATCTGATGAGAATGTCTTTATTGGCGCGCCTACTGGAAGCGGCAAGACTATCTGTGCTGAATTTGCTCTGCTCCGCCTTTGGAGCAAACGCGAGCAGCCCAGGGCGGTCTGTATCGAGCCCTACCAGGAGATGGTCGATCAACGTGTTGCAGAGTGGCGTCGGAAGTTCAGCGGCCTGCAGGGCGGCAAAGAGGTAGTAAGCCTTACAGGAGACACCAGCGCTGACCTTCGACTTCTTGAGAAGGGTGATGTTGTTGTTTGCACCCCATCGCAGGTTAGTTTCTTCAGTCATGTCGTAAATCTCACTCAACCGATATTTCTAGTGGGATATCCTGTCTCGAAGGTGGCGACAGCGCAAAAATGTGCAGAACATCGGCCTATTGATTGCTGATGAAATCCAGCTTGTAGGTGGAGAAGTCGGTCCGACGTACGAAGTGGTGATATCTAGGACCCGCTACGTCGCTGCGCAGACGGAGGTTAAGACTCGCATCGTCGCCTGTGGTGTCTCGCTCGCTAATGCTAGAGATCTCGGTGAATGGATGGGCGCACCATCGCACGCAATTTTCAACTTCTCGCCTAGGTACATCTTGCAGCTTGTAATCAACATTCAGCCTACTAAATGATGTTTTGTAGCTCGAGGCCGCTGGATATGGATATACATCTCCAGAGCTTTACTATCCCTCATTTCCCTTCACTGATGATCGCCATGTCTAAACCTGCCTATCTCTCTATCGTTGAGCATTCGCCCACCAAACCTGTCATTATATTTGTTCCATCAAGACGCCAGTGCCGGCTGACGGTTGACGACTTGTTGATCCACTGCGGAGCGGATAGCGACCCCGATCGCTTCTTGAATATCGAAGAAGCTGACTTGCAGCCTCACCTCGACCACATCAGCGACAAAGGTCTTGTCGAATGCCTGAAACATGGGATTGGGTATTATCACGAGGCGCTCGATAAGCAAGACAAGCGCATTATCGAACGCTTATTCCAGTCTGGAGCAGTCCAGGTTTTGGTGGCATCTAAGGTGTGTAATCCACGAACCTACCACTGACCAGCAACTGAGCGTCTGCAGGACACTGCATGGAGTCTACCCGTTGCAAGCTATATGGTGATCATAATGGGCGTGCAATACTATGAGGGCAAAGAACATCGATATGTCGACTACCCAGTCATGGACGTCCTACAAATGATAGGTCGTGCCTGCAGGCCAATGGAAGATGATCGCAGCCGATGTGTCCTCATGTGCCAGCAGACGCGCAAGGACTTTTACAAGAAATTCCTTGCAGAGGGTCTTCCCATCGAGTCCCACCTGCCTACCCATCTGTTGCACGACTATTTCCTCGCCGAGATCGCTGTCAAGACGATTGAAAACAAGCAAGATGCGATGGATATCCTGACATGGACATACTTCTACCGCCGAATGACTCAAAACCCCAACTACTACAATCTTCACAATGTCAGCCATCAGCATTTGTCAGATCACCTGTCGGAACTCGTGGAGAACACCTTGCAAGACTTGGTTAACTCAAAGTGCATTTCGATAGAAGATGAAATGGACGTTTCAGCACTGAACCTCGGGATGATAGCGGCGTACTATAACATCTCATACGTCACTGTGGAGGTGTACACCCTGTCGCTGAAGGAGCGGACGAAACTCAAAGGTCTTCTGGAGGTTGTTGCCTCTTCCGCAGAGTTCGAGTCAATTCCTATCAGGCGTCACGAAGACACCATACTCCGCCGCATCTACGACCGTGTTCCCGTCAAGCTCGATCGTGCAGACTTCGAGGCACCTCACTTCAAGACCTTCCTTCTACTTCAGGCTCATTTCTCTCGTATCCAGCTACCACCAGACTTGGCGGCGGACCAAGTTTTAGTTCTGGAGAAGGTTTTGAACCTACTGTCAGCATGTGTGGATGTCATGTCTTCGAACGCATGGCTGAATGCACTGGGAGCAATGGATTTGTCACAGATGTGTGTACAAGCGATGTGGGAAACCGATTCGCCCCTCAAGCAAATCCCCCACTTTGAGCCAGAGGTATGTCCATTCCTCTCGGTACTCTTCACTGCTGATTCAATTTCAAAACAGACCATCAAACGTTGCAAGGATGCCGGCATTGTGTCTGTTTACGACGTCATGGAGATGGAAGATGATAAACGCACCGAACTTTTGCAAATGGATGGTCGCCAAATGTGAGTTCTATTGTATGTATCTATTTTAACCGTTTCTAACAGTATGTCTAGGCGCGATGTAGCGACATTTGTCAACTCTTACCCGACCCTTGACGTGTCCTTCAAGCTCGAGAAGGGAGAATATACTGCTGGTGCACCCATCACCATGCAGGTTTCTCTTGCCCGTGATGCAGATGAGGAGGAATCCGATGACCAGACTGTTGTCGCACCTTTCTACCCGACGAAAAAGATAGCAAACTGGTGGCTCGTAGTTGGAGAGCCGAGCACAAAACAACTGCTATCAATCAAGCGCGTCACCGTCACCAAGAATCTCTCGGTGAAATTGGAGTTCACGCTACCGAAAGGCGAGCACGCCTTAAAACTCTATGTGATCTGCGATGCGTACGTTGGCGCAGATCATGATCTAAGTTTGGAACCTATTGATGTTGCGGAGGGCGAGGATAGCGACAGCGATGATGAGAGCGGAGATGAGATGGAGGAGTAGTTGGTATGCTCATGTAAAATTTCGATGTATCTCTACTGTCTTTGTCGTACAGCTTTCCTTGCCGATTGTTAATTGTAGGATTTGTCTATTAATATTCGTCTGGATATTCTGCAAATTTCTAACACTGAGTAAGCTATATCGTACGAAGCTAATTCTATTTTAGCAGGTATATGTATATGTTCACTGTGCGCGCGCGTAAAACGCCTTGAAGAATGTGGCCACACCCTCCTAAACGCAGTGTAGCAATAAGTCATTTTGACCTACTAACAGGGCAGCGGGAAAATACATACCTGATCAAAGGTTTGCTTGAAACTTGCACGCTGCAATACTCGGTCGGCGTATTTCGTGAATTTAGCGAACTTGGGTCCCTTTAACTCCTCACCCAGCTTGATTCCCATACCGGCAGGGAATCGCCCTAATTCCATTAATCAGCGTCAATTTCAATACCAATGCGAGTACTGTACCTGCGTCAGTCTCGGTGATAACCCTGAGCCTTGCGATGTGCGGCGAGATGGAGGCATCTGCAATGGTGTAATGAACTCCAACTGCGAAATCTGCGTCCTCTTCGAGAAATCCTTGGATAACTTCAATGCCCTTCAAGACGTTCTCATATGACCCCGCCCCTCCGAGGAAGGCGTAGAGCGGCTCCTCGATGGATTTACTATTCGCATCAAGGAACAAACGGACTTTGGAGCGCGAAACAGGATCCTTTGGCAGGAGACCAGAGTTTGGATAGAGGTCCGCCAAAAACTCGAGGATGACATTCGATTCTGTGATTTTACTGGAAGCGGCTGAAGGTTCGTCGGGGTTGACGCTGGGTCCTCCATATGCTACGGTGGGCACCTATGTGATATTACATCAATCTTCCATAATAGACGCATGACATCATCACACATACCTTGCCAACGGGGTTCACTTTGCTAACAAACCACTCTGGTTTATTGAATACATCGACTTGGTAGCCCGTGTAGGGTGCGTTAGCTTCGATGAGAGCTAATTCGGCCTGTTAAATCGTGTCAGAGACTCGTGAGAGGGTGTCAGCAGTCATTTCACCTTTTGGCTGTAGGGCGAGAGCTAAAAGGTTATGGGTCAGACAAGTCTTTCTCTTCAATTTGCATCGTTCCTCACCGTGTGGAGGTATAGAGTGAGCTGTTCAGACATGATGGTGATGATGATTGAATAAAATTTTGGGTGACTTCAAGGCGGAAGGGTGCTCATATTTATGTGTGAGACGAGTAGGACTCTGTGACATCGGTTGTCGCATCGCTTCAGTGAGTTGCTGACTGAAATCTGCATGAATGTTATGAAGTTCATCACCAGGCTTGCTTACCATCCATGTGAATAAGCCTTACGAATGTACTTGAAAGGTACCGTGGCACGAGAATCCTCGAGAAGCCGACTTGAGTTCGGGGGCCGAGAGGATTTAATGCTGTCAACTTCTGGGCCATCTGGAATGGTGGTACTTGATCGATTCTGGTCTTCGGCCTCTAGAGTCATAGTAGCAAGCTTATACGACAGAGAAGAAGCAACCTACCTCTGTCGGATTTCATTAGCTGATTCAGCTGTCGGCTACCGATGATAATCCCGACTTCGCTTTTGGGACAACCATTATTCAGCATTCAAGCGGCCCACAAGGTATCTAGTACCTTGTGTTACTATAATCACTCTTGCTGACGCCTTTTCGCACAATCTAGAATGCTTGGCGCTGCGAGCCTGTAACAAAGTCGGACCCTGTATCGTGCTGTGAGCTCCTCTTTCACGGGAAAACGTCCTCTTGCTCTTTCCACGGTATTATTAGAATTCTGAATGCCTCGCAAGGTCTCACTCTCCAACGCGCTGTACTCGACATTCGCACAGATGCATTATGCACATGGACAATTGTATAAATTTAGAACGCTTCGACAAGTACGATTTCCAAAAGCTGCATGATGTCACAAAGGTCGTCAACCGGGACTCTCTTAGGACCGTCAAAACTGCCAACCCTGCTCACTCGGGTTACCGACACTGCTTTCATCTCTACGATGTGATAGGCGAAATAAGTAGTCATGGTCCTCACATTTGCATTGTCACCAACGTTCTGGGGGCCAATGTAACCAGCCTCCGTAGGCTGTAGCCGAACTTGTGCGGTGCTTTCCCTGTTGCTACCGCTAAACGCATAGTCAAACAGACGCTTCTTGCTCTTGACTATCTTCACCGTGAGTGTGGCCTTGTACATACAGGTATTTATTCCAGCCTCCATGCTGGAGCCCATAGCTGACAGCCCGACCTTCAAGATGTGAAACCTGACAATACCCTTATTTGCGTAGACCACATGGATGAAGCCCTAACTCGCCTCCTTCAAGAAATACCGTCTGCCTCCTATGAACCACGCTTGGAGCCGGATTTATCTCCTCATCCTATTATCACAGTGAAGTCGCAGCCGCTCTCTAATTTTGGTTTTCGAGAAGATGCTAGCAACCTCAACATTTGTTTGATTGATTACGGTCATGGTTAGTTATCTTGCCTTTGAATAACAGTTTCTCATCCATCCTGCTGTCGACAGCCACGCCCATCAGAGAACACCTACTCGAGAAAGTTCAACCCACCCTCCTCCGTGCGCCCGAAATCATTCTTAGTCACGTATGGTCTACTCCCATCGACATATGGTCTGTGGGGTGCTTGGTAAAACATACTCTACCTTGACTTGCCACCAACGACTGAAAGATGGCCGTCTAGGTTTTCGGGCATCTAAGTGGTGCGGCTCTGTTTAAACTCTGGGAGTCCTCCTCCATGAGCATGGACAACGTTCATCTCCAGCAGATCCTCGAACTTACGGGTCATTTTCAGCCTAGCTTTTTAGAAGGTTGCTGCCGCCGGGCTGATTTCTTTGACCAACAGCGCAGATTGTAACACGTGACCATTATAATGCCGGCAAAAAATCTCCGACAGTACGTATCGACTACGGCGCAAACATGAACACGGCATAGTGGGGTTTCACTGGGTTTGAACTTTGTTTTGCAAAGCTTCTATATATACAAGTGTCCTCCATATAAGTACACCTCTTGAGCTTGAGCGATATATCCTACGTGAGGGTACGTATCAGATGTATGTGCTAGCTATATAAGTAACTAATGGTTTCACTCTGACGTTGAATCGTCAGTTTTTCACATCAAGCAGCAAGCTATCGATAGTATAATAAGGCGAACTAACTCACAGCATGCCCTACAATCCCTTCTCATGCTCTTCACTCTAGGGATATCGTGCATTATTGCCCTGCTTGTCACTGCGTCTGACTCGCAGACGTGTCTATCCTTTACCTCTGCTACCTGGTCCTCGTCCCTTACCATTTTTGGGTAACGCGCTGCAATTGGATACTAAACGTCCTTGGCTCACATATACTGCGTGGGAAAAGACATATGGTTGGTAGTAGACCAGGCTCTTTGCCAAGCTCCTGCATTTAACTTCATGCCTGATCGCAGGAAAAATCTTCCGCTCCCGCATACTTGGGATCGACATGATCATCATAAGCTCCGAAACCATCGCCCAGGAGTTGCTGGAAAAGCGTTCTGCGAATTACTCTACCCGTCCCGTTCTTCGCACCAACGAATTGTATGCATTACCGGTTTCCATTCAACTTGTTCTTCATCTACTGGCGATACAGAGCTGGAATAACTTTCAATACTGTGATGCTTCCGTATGGGGAAACTTTACGACAACATCGCAAGCTATTTTATCAAGTCCTTAGGGCCGAAGTTTCAATCTCGTACCACGAGATATACTCTCGCCATGCAAATGAACTAGTCATCAATCTCTTAGGTGCCACTAGGGACTCACTGCAGCAACACACTGAAGCGTTCGTACCTAATTCAAGGATGGCGTTGTGACGTATGGTCCAGTTGACGATCAATCCTTGTGGCAGATACTCGGGATCCCTAATCATGACCGTGACATACGGACATCTCGCTGATGAAGGCTCATTTCTTTCCCGTGCGCACGAACTCCTTGATATTGCAAAACAGACTATCACTCCCGAGAAGGCTGCCATGTTCACAGCCTTTCCTTTCCGTGAGTGCCTCTGTCGACGACATCATCATGAACACTCAGCATGAGGTTGCAGTCGAAAAGTTGCCTTTTTGGTGCTTTGGTGGAGCATTTGCCCTGATGGGACGTTGTAGAGAATTATGTGAACAACTTTTCGACGAGCCCTTTAACGAAGTGAAGGCACAGATAGTACGTTCGTGCAGACTTGTCATTGGAAATTTCGCCTGATCTGTTTGCGTGAAGGCAGATGGTACTGCTTCGCGCTCATTAGTCGCTGACTTTCTCAGTCAAGCTCATGACGACACTGGCGAAGACATTATGAAGGCTGTTGCGTTGACGGGATACATGGGTAAAAGTTTGTTCTTATCAGGACAGAGTTCATCCATTGACGAGAATACGATATCTTAGCTGGCATGGAAACCGCGAGTCGCTACTTACTTGAAACATTTCTGATTCTTACTTTGATGTCTCGCAGACTGCATCCGTACTGCAGGCATTCCTGCTGGCTATAATGCTCTATCCTGACGTTCAATCCCGTGCTCGTGCAGAAATTGACCAAGCTGTGGGGCATGACAGCATGCCGTGCCTTGATGACAGGGCGTCACTGCCATACCTTGATGCCATTCTCCGCGAGGTCCTGAGATGGAATCCTCCCGCCCCCCTAGGTTAGTCGGTGGTAATATAGTTGTGTTTGCATGACTGACCCCTTGCACAGGCATCGCACATGCGACATCAAATGATGATGTTTACGACGGGTACTTTATACCCAAAGGTTCGAAGTCGTACGAATCAAGGTTATCGTTGACTCATATATAGTTCGATCAGATGCAATAGTAATGGTTAATCAGTGGTATGTCAGGCTTGAGTGCATGTATTGGTTTGAGCTGAACATTGCTCAGGGCACTGTCTCGAGATGAAGACATGTTTCCCGATGCATCACGCTTCGATCCTAGCCGCCATCTGACCGTCGATGGGAAATTGAAGGAGACTGTCGTCAACCATTTTGCCTTTGGTCATGGCAGGTGAAATTTCCAACCTTACTATCATCTTCAATCATCCACTGACCCTTGCAGGCGTATTTGTCCTGGTAGGCTGATTCATGGCTGATTTGGCAGTGTTATGACAAATGCCTTTGGCAGGTCGTTGGTTTGCAGATAATGGTCTGTGGAGTGCAGCTGCTGCCATACTCGCCGTCTTGCGCATCGATCATGCCAAAGACTCAAACGGAGACAGGATTGATGTGAAGCCGGAGTTCAACACTGGTTTAGTTATGTAAGTGACCCAGTATGCATCCAATAACCTGCGACTGACTCTGCTGAAGTCACCCTGAACCATTTCACTTCTCGTTTGAAGTCGTGAACACAACGAGAGAAGCACACATCCGAGCGATGATGAATTCAAGGTAGACTTAGTTTGTACTTGAGGTGGTCTGACATATGATATGGCGCAAAGTGCACTGGATGGCACGGTTTTACGGTCTCTGCTTTTGACGAACAAGAAAATTGCTAAATTGACACTTCATAAACTAGACCCGTTTCCTAAATCTCGTGAACCGGCGCAACCAAGCTGCATACCATTGATCGGTTCATAGGCCCTTCCCGTTGGTCCACCTCTATCGGTGGATGCACTCGTACTACAGCATACATATATTGAGCCATTTAAGGATGCAACTGTAGTGCAATTCATTAAAGTTCGCTCTGGAGTGTTGTAATCACCCAGACTGACGGGGCAGACCTCATGGGCCCGCATTCTGACGTTGAATCCTGGGGTTGAAGCTTAGACACGTCCATTGACAGCCCAGGCGCCCTCATGTTATGCTTACGGGAGAGGAATCGATCTCACAAGGTTGCGCATGAACAAAGCAATAAGACACATTAAATCGTAGTGCAATCAGGTAAACAATATACACGTACAAACTCACGAGGAGTCCGGCTGGCCGCTCGTACCTGTGCATAATAGATTTAGATTGTGCCGAAATGTAGAACCAAAAAAATACCACAAGGCCGTCGCAATAACGCACAAACATACATAGGATCCCTCAGGATATTGAATGGGAAACCCTGTACACGATGATCCATCAAAATACCGAAGTAGTCCCCGAGGAAAGTTCCAGTTATTCCGAGGGCCCAAGTGGAAACGGCTGGCCGATGGCAAACAGAACAACCGGTATCAGAATGTCATATGGCGCAGAGAGCATAGGAACTCGAGATTATTCCAAGCTGTTGGGTTTAACGCGATGGCGAGAAGCGAAACATGCAGAGACGTCACAGATGCATTTAGAATGATAGAAAAAGCGTCCATGTCTGGCCCTACTATTGCAGTTGAAGCTGAGAAAAGGTGGAAATATTCCATTCAACTCTTCTACACGAACTTCTCACGGTACCTGTCACCGCGGACTTGAAAAGCTTCACTTGACTCGCCCGGGCCAGCGTTCCTACATACTTATAGTAAACAGTGATGGGTAGCTATTGACCTGGTGTCAAATCAGTGGGCACTCGTTTCAGACAACTATAATTACATCTGGTTTTTTGATCATAAGGACACAATCTAAGGCGCTACCATCAACTCTGTTCAGGACCTTCCACACTCGTTGATCTTGCTTCTCGTTATGATCCACCCCACTACTCTGCCAACAGGTTATTGCGCCCTCTGAAAGGGAGGCGTGCTTCACTGGGATGTCAGCATCTCATGGGTACCGCTTGTGCGGTCAATTCATAAGCGTTTTCGACGACTTGGAAGAAGGGAACAACTGGGTATGAGGTGTACTAGGCGCCAAAGATCCATCATTCCTTCTTTCCAAATCGTGACGGCAAGTTGACAAGGATGACACAATTGGCATTTCACCGCTTTAGATATCCTAAGCAAGTAGGTGTGATACTATTGCTAATCACACGCAAACCCATAGTCTACTTAAGAAGAGTCGGTACAACGTTCAAATCCGTATGCTGTTTTGCGTCTGAAAATCAATCCTTTGTATACTTTGGCAGTTCCATTTTAGTTGGTGGTGGCATCAGTATACGGGGTTTGGGCAAACCCGATGCGGGACCGGGAGGTATCAAACACGCAGTAGAACCGCTCGGCGAATGGGTAGCCGTTAACAAAATCAAACCCTTGTCCGCTGGGCGTACCAATGTCGGTAATGACGAGATAGATGGCATTGCTACTGCCACCAATGTACGTGTTGAGAATACGAGGCCAGATTTGGCCGTTAGGGGTGAGAGTGTACGTTTCCTGTGCAAATGGTAAGCAAGGGATGTGAGAGCCGACAGAAATGGCGCACGCCGCCAATACCGAAGCTCAAGTTCTCGAGGGCTGCGTACTGGGCGGAGGAAATGAGGAGAAGACCAGTCGTCGCATCCGTAGTACTACCGGTTAAAGACTGGTACTGGTCGTAAGCATCTAACTAACGTTGATTAGACCATGATTGCTCGCTGCACTCTGGATACGCACCGCTGGCAATGTAAATATAAGTGGTGTCTACATCGACGATACCAGCAGTGGAGGACAAGATCGTTGTGTTGCCATAGGAAATACTCTGGTCGATACCCCAATACATCGATGCAGGACTGGTGGTAGTGATAGGACTGAAACAAAACGATTACTATCAGGCTGCATTGATGTAGGGACTGAAGTGGCTTACTTGTATGTAATGGGACCGTGCTTGTTACGGACAGTTCCACCGAAGGTGAGTTCTCCATTGACGACCTCCATCACTTCAGTGATGGGCTCGAAAGAGATACTAACAACCTCACGATGAATGATGCCTTGGCTATGCAAGTTGTCAGTGACAGTTGGAATCGTTGTTGTCGGTTCATCTGTCAGGGTACCCGCTGTCAAGTCTACAGGCCCTAGGCCAAGGATACCGTCAGCTCCGCCGAAGGTGCCCGACGTATCAAGAGCAACACCAAACGACTGTTGGGAGATAGTGAGCCCACTGCTGAAAGTGAAGTTGTCGATGTACTCAAATCCTGTAGATAATCATGAGTATTTTCGATTGCTTATGTTATATTTGTATGTCATACCATCGAAGTAGGCAGATCCGGAACCGTAGATGACCTTCATAGGCTCCTCAGTGTTGATGCTGGTGCTGGTCCGCGTGTACGCTTTTTTGGCGCCAATCCATGTGTCCGAGGTACCGGTGTCGACAATCAAGTCGTCTTCGATAACGCATCAGCAGTCGCATATTTTCTCAGTATTGAACTTACAAGTTGTAGGGGGGGTGCCAATCCCAACTGCTATGTAGTATCCAGTAGCAACATTGGCAATAGGAACGCCACGGCTGCCGTGCTTCAAGTTTTGGCCTTTAAGCCTGAGGGCAGCGACGCGAGCTCTATCCTGCTCCAAGAGGTTAATGGTACCATTGAGGGCACTTAGCCTCCTGGCAATCGGGAGGGTTATGGGGGAATTGCTGACTTCGATGGGCGATCCCGTGGTTGACAAAGCCAGGAGGATAATTGTCAACAAGAATGCAGCGGAGAACATGGCTGACTCGAGAGCAATACCATACATAGTGGTCTATTATATGCGCTGGTGAACGCAAATATTGGGCATCTTGCAATGGCCACGTATTAAACGTCTCCTCTCGAAAAAGCGATGACAAGATAGTGGTGATCCGAGTGTTACGAGTCAGGAGTGCAAGGGTCCAACTCCCTGACAAGAAGTTGGGTTTCAATTCAAAGTGGTAGGAACTTACAATTAACCTGTTTACTCATGGTCCATTGGTTCATTGACGTGCCTCGTGTTCATTCTCGTAGAGATAAACCTCAGAGGAACGTTGTGTCAGGTTTGGGCCCTGTGGTAGTAAACGTTGCTGAGAAGAGCAGTTACGGTTGTCCCCAGTTGTCCCGGGTCCATCCATGATCAAGTTGTTGCATTCGCACCATGTGAGGACATTTGCCAACTCGGCCCGAAACCATATAAAAGAATGATATAGTGACGAGGACTCACCATTTTCTGAAGCACGTCGGCTGGTTACACATGGTCCAATAGTTTATTTATGCAAGTGGGAAAATTTTGCTGGAAGTTAGAGTCGTGATTTACTGATCACTCAAGTGCTGGTAAAACCAGATGACATTACTAATGTTCAAGTTGGTCTTGTTGTCTACAAGATCCAGGCACGGCAGAAGCCTGAGGTGGCCGTTTCAAGTGGATTCCGAGCTTGCGAGCGTTGAAACGTTGACACGCGAAACATGGCCTTTGTAAGCGGGCATGTGAAGATTCTCCTCTTGTGCGCTTCGATCTAAATAGTAACGCACAGAGTCAAAACTTAAAAGGACGGAGGGCGGCGGGCGGCGGGTGGCGGGCATTATCAAGCTGAGTCACATCGTCCCGATTGGGAATTAAACTCCGTCTTAATCTGGTCGGGCGGGAGGACGCCAAGAACGGTCTATACGGTGAACACGATATCTGGGATGTTCATACCGGGACCGCCTAGTCATGGTTATAAACAGTAACCTGAAAGGAGATTACTCCGGGATGTCAGCATCTCATGGGGTACCGCTTATGCGGTCAATTCATAAGCGTTTTCGACGACTTGGACCCTGTACTGTGCCATGAGCTAGGCTATTTCACAGGAAATTGTCCTGACTCCTCTTGCTCTTTCCACAGCATTATTGGAATTCTCAGGAATGCATCTATGCTGACAGGAAGCAGTTCTGGGAAATTGACGTATTTGTGCCTCACAAGGACGGTCTCTCTCCAACGCGCTGTGCTCGACCTTCGCACAGACGCATTATGCATATAGTCAACTGTACACAACTTCTCTACCGAGTGCGGAAACGTCACGACATTCGGACGGTGTAGTCAGCGAGGAATAAGGCAAAAGGTACACCAAATATCATTTACTCTTCGCTATGAATATGAACAATACTTCCCCCTCTGCAGGCAAGCGAATTAGGTATCAGATTTCATTGGCTGATTCAGCTGGATTCAGCTTCATGGCATCCATGAATGACTCCCAAGCACCACGCCCGCTACTCTCAGATACTCAGGACAAGTTTGATATTACTTGTTGCGAGTCTGTGACGACTCGTCCAGCATCTACGACTTCGGTCGGTGGCGAAGGGATATGTCAACATAGTGTTCAGCTCAGAGTGCTATCCCCTTCAAGTTCCTGCTCCCAATCTTCGGGACTGTCTCTGAGTCTCATCGTATAAAACGTCTGGAGAATAACGATACTAGTAGCGTTCTTGAAGGGTACTTGTAAGCTGACAGGTTGCCTCTTGTTCACGTAATACTTTACTCATGCATCGTCATAGCCCATGACATACTATGTACTAATAAACGTACAGCTTTGTAAACTCCCGATTAAATGCCATAGGACTCAGTCAGCGCAACTGGCCCGTATGATTACAGCACGCTTTGGAACGAAGGACCTGGCAAAAGATATATAAACTGATGACATTTAGAATTGCAAAATCCAAAATTCAGTAACACAACATGTCTGAAGCGCTTTTCAAGTCCTTTGCTATCGTCGGCGCAGGCCCTCACATCGGGATTCCTATCGTGAAGGTAAGAATTCATTATAGTATTATCTTTGAGTGTCGTCCTTAGCCGATGATCTCTGTCAGGCATTCCTGGCCATTGGCACTCCAATTCTCGTCATCGCCCGGCCGACCTCCAAAAACACCTCTGCACTCCCTGACAACGACCCCAACCTGAAGGTTGTGCGCGCAGATTATACATCTGCATCTGAGGTTTCGGCAATCCTTCGTGAAAACAAAGTGGACGTCCTGATTTCTACCGTTACATTTTTTTTCGGAGGCGTAGTTGTACAAGACGTTCTTGCGGACGCTGCAAAGGAGGCGGGTGTGAAGCTCTTTGTACCCAGCGAGTTCGGCGTATCACCGCCAGCAGCCGGTCTGGTTCATGAGAAGCATGCCTTTGCAGGTGAATGATATGGTAGCACTTTAAGATGTAGACTCATCCTCCATTCACAGTCTATGCGAAGTCGATCGGATTGCCTACTCTTCGTGTCTATGTAAGTTTTTCTTTGTTGATATTGTTCCAAGCATGACGCACTGAACACGATCCATTAGAATGGGTTATTTCATGACTTCGTGCCCTGGCTCACTGCACTCGCTGAAACTGGCAAGTTTCATATCGTGAGCAAAGGAGACATGCCAGGATCCTTCACTGCGATATCCGACGTTGCAGGATATGTGGCTCATATTCTTACTACTCAACCGCCATCTCGTCTACTTGATGTTGAAGTTCGCATCGAAGGACAACGCGCAACGCTCTCTGAGATTAGTGCCCTATACAAAGGCAGTGTGCCTGTGGTACACTGTGATGCCCTTCCTATAGAAGGTGTACTTGCCGCGGATGTCCGTACGAGCTACCAGCAGGGCTTTGACGTCGGAAGAGCAAGTTGCGGTTGGAATCCCGATACAAAGACGGATGACGCGGAATTGGCGAGCAAGGACAATTCACTGTGGGAGGGACATCGCTGGTTGACTATCGGGGAAGTTCTTGGATTGTAATGACATGTATGTGCACGATACCTTGCAAAACTAAGTATACTTCGAGATTTACAGTAGGGACTTTTGAATCATGTTATTAGGATCTTTTCTGGAGCACGAAGATGTCAGATGTTTTTGTATCATACGGAAATGAAAGCAACATTTGTTCGATTTCATCATCGATCACAATACTCGTTATCGCCTCGGCTGTGTATTTGAGTTTGCATAGCAAATTTTCCAGGCCCAAAACGAGACAAAAATACATCGTCAGAATGAATCAGAAATCATACTGCTATAGAGGGTAGTCGGAGCCGGAGTGTAGATGTTACGGGCAGCCGCAGGCTTAGCCACAGTGGAGGGTCACCGACAGATGACGAAGGCGTCTAGCAGTGTACACTGGTAGTAATTCATGAACAGCATCGTATAATATTAGCATGTTCATTGCTGCTCTTCAGGCTACGGGTCTATTTAGTCTAACACATACGTATTAACTGATATAATGTACTTGTTGTTCATATGACAAGAATATCTACGTCTTGGCATACAGAAACGGAGCCTGACATCACCTTCGCAACGGCGAGATCTAGGCAATCGCAGACTGTATGCTGATACTAGTAGTAAAGACTGAGAGGCAGTAGTCGTCGTCCTGGGCAGGTACAGACAAAATGCCAGAGTCCACAGATTTGTGCAGGTTAAGCATCAGCCGAGAAACGAGAGTAACGGACATGCTGGGGGGTGTAGTCAAACCCCGACTAACGTCCATCGCATCAACCACTCACCAGCCAGTGAATGTAGACAGACCCACATTGCCCCTAATAACCGCCTGCCAGCCAACCGTTAAAAAATACTTGACTTTCACACAAGATGCTCACTGATCCATACTGAGTCAAGTTGTGAGCGCTTTGTAACTCCACTAGTAGGATGTCGACTCACGTAGAACATCACAATGTTCGGTATATTACAGAGTGTCATGGCTCTGAAGGAATGTATCAATTAGACCCACTCGAATCACGGGTTCATTAACGCCCTCACCCAAAATACATCACACCTATGTTCAGTTTATTCAGTGTTTACAACACGAAAGTAACAAACCATTTACCATCATGAAATATGACATCAAGGATGTTTCTCCTGGTGACCAGACGTAACCGCGACAAACCTCTAGATTTACAAGTCCTATAAACTGTGAGGACAAAGATGAGTGCTTCGAAGGCCAGGATGGCCACCCATGCTAGCCCCAAACCTGCAGATAGATCAAGTTATGACTTCGAGTTGCGTGACTTAGAATTTACTGACGGGCAGATCTGCAAAGACTTTTGAGCAGAGTCGCAGAATGGAAGATCATGACGTACATCTCTACTGTGTATGTTGTGAAACAGCCAACTCCCGGCGAGATCGTCAAATTCCCTTCATACTGTCCAAAAATTGTCGCCTAGAAACGATCAGTAGACTCCAAATGGAAGAGTCCAAAATTAAATCGAACACGTACAGATGCCCCTCCCGCAAGAACGATGAGGATGAATGTAACCCAAATAATCAGGCGTTTGCTACGATTGTAGAGAGCATAAGTGCGGATGATTAATGTGACTGAAATTTGTCAGTCTATGAATTCTACTAGTAAAAAATTCGAACTTGCCGCAAACGATGAATTGTTGCAGAAAAATAAATAGCTGTCTGGATATCATGTATTTCGGACAGCTAAGCGTTTGTTAAACGAAAGAACAAATATCCAAGAATTAGGAGATCAAACCTCTGCAGAAATAAGTTGTGAGCCTGCCACGTATATAATGAGATGATCGAACCTGATCTGGAATGAGCGTGAAATCAACATATAAGCCATATATATTGCCGACCAGCGCGAGATAGCGGTTGATAAGAAATAACATCGCAGACAGTGCCTTCGGACGACGCCAAATGAAAGCGATTTCGTCTGTGAGGGTTGCCATATGGTCGTACACCATAATACCTAGAACCTCTTGTTATCATTCTGAGGACAAAGATAGGAAAACTCCAGTACTGTTTGCCACAAGGATGACGTACAAGTGCCTCGCCCTGGTAAATTGGAAATGTAATGTGTTAAGTCAGATCAGGATACGTACGTGTACCACTTACAGCTGCTGTTTTTCGGTGGCATCCATGCTATGCAACAAAGAAAGGGTGTGGATGATGTCTGGGGCAGTATCCAGAATTATATACCACGTTAATGTATGCAAACTCCGAGGACAAACACGTGCAGTTAGCTCGAAAGATCGTGGACACAGGAATAGATCTTCCTCGGTCACATCAGTGAGTCACAAGCGCATAGCTAGATGATTCATTGATCAGGCTATTTATTGCTGAAACGCAAGAAATCAAGTTCGGGCCGTTCCAGGATCATTATCGCTGGCACAGCGCTGGCAATGTCGGGCAATGGCGGCATGATGACATGTCGATCAAGCGATGAGATAGTCTGCTGGAACAAAGTTGTGGACATTAAAACGTTCCACGTTGAACTTCGAAACTTCAGTACGCGTCTTGCGTCCTTACCTGGCGCGGAGTTACGGACAAAGTGGTTGGTGAATATAACATCCGAGATGCTTGTTACAGGTCGATTTCAGCCTATTCTTCCATTTCAGGCAGCAGCGGCTCTAGTTCTTGAATTTGCATCGATACCATTCACAAGTTCGTCATAAGGTCCCTTTCGTAGCAGATAACGCAGTAAATATGGGGTCGCTCCAAACCAGGCTCAAATTTAGAAACACGTACTCAAGGAAGACAACATCAATGGTTCTCCTGGTTCCTCGTGCGAGCTGATTTGTTCCTTCGGCGATAAGCCTCAGACTGTTATTGGTGCACGTATCATACCGATGTTGCCATCGTGCTGATCTTAGCGCACCCGTTTACGCTCGAAGTCTCTCGTACACAAAGTGTGGTGGCACGGCAAAACCGCGACGCTGACAAAGTATTATATTTGGAGGACAGTATAGTGCAGGTCCATGGGCACTGCCCATGGATGGCGATAAATATATGTCATCCATCGTAGTAAGTGATGATGGGCTGCCTCTGAAAATAAAAGCGGTGCACACGGTGATGATCGGATGCATCGAGATGGCTTTCATAGATTATGGATCATGCGGAAACGGCGATGCATTTCATTTCTGATGTATCCAATTCTGATTGCGGCTGATCAACCAAACTCTTCAACTCAGCAAAAAGCTTGATTTTAGCAGGGAGCTGTACAATGTATCAAAAATCAAGAAATTTATGAAATGACGTTGTAATCCTGACCTGATATTGTGTTACAAGGCCTGATGTACTAGGAACCACGAATAATAACGTTTCACTTATGTTCGAGGAGGTATCGCTGACAGGATCTGCGATAGTCGGATAGCATAGCTTGAATGGTTGCAATCCAACGTTCTTCTCTGATGCCCGGGATGCTTTTGACGCGCCTGGCGATCCAGAGGCCTTGGATGGTCCGGTCGTCATCTGCAAAAGCGCCTTTTGGAGTATCTCCCAGTTGGATATACCGACGAGACAAAGAAATCTAGGGCGATGGAGTGCGAGCTTGCTGAGTAGGATAGGTACAGACGAGACACGCTCTGAACAGGACAGTTCTGATGCCTGAGATTTACACGTTAGCACGCAGTTGAAAGACGAGTACTGTGCCAACCTCCGATGATGGTCTGTCAACTAGATCTGTCTACGATTGAAATATGTCAGTTTGGGTAGTAGACATAATATTTTAAGCTGACTAAACCAATGTTGAATGTTTTTGGTAAGGAAGAATCCTCCGAGGGTGGCAGTAGCCTAGGTGTAAACCCTAAGAAATGTATAGTCAAGAGCTTCTCCTGGTCATCGATGGAGACGACATACCAGATTGGTGAAGACACTTCCAGAAATGATTTGACGGGTGGGCAAAGTGGTGTCCTCTCTTGGCGGACATATAACCGGGACTAAGAATGATATGGATGTTACAATGGCCCTATCAGAAGCTTGCATGATGCAAAAGATACTCAGCCTACTTGATTCCACAGAAAACGACTACACAGAACACCTTAGGCAAAATTTGGAATGATGAGTTTATTACACACCGTCGAGCCCGTAGGCTAGATAATCTGTGAGGGGTGATAAATGGGCATACGCTTCCGGTGGAGCATATCCGCGCTTGAGTTTTTTGGCGGCATTCTTGGACAGACTTGCGTTGGGCGCCTTTCGCTTACCCTTTCCAGGTGACGTTGAATTATTCGAGGCATCGACGTGGCACTTGACTTCTGGCTTTCGAGATTTCACGGCCGCAGCAACTCTGAAGGAACGTCGCAAGGTTGGTACCTCGGAACTATGGACCGTAGCGACTGCGGAATCGAACTGTGGTTGGCATGGGGCCGAGATTAATGTGAATTTGGAAATAGATTCCCTGAATTTCTCTGTAACGGACGCGTCTCCGTCATTGCGGTCTTCCTCGAAAGACATCTGGAGCAATCCCTGGAAGAGGAGCTAGGAGGAACCTTAAGTGGCGAGTTGCTCGTGAGAAATTTATAGCGGAGAACTATTCGATCGTTGCGCAAACAGTCGTTCAACATTTTGGTTATGTGCTAACTAGTTCTCTTTGCAGACGTAAAGCAGAATTAACGGACTGCGGACCTGTTCAGCGGCATCGTATGCAAGAGCACTTCCATGGGCATCTAAACGCCCAGCGTCGCGCATGACCGTCGCCCACGCCAAATTCAGAAATGCACTCAGCAATTTTGGAGTCTGGAGCTCCAACTGCTTGCAAATCGCACAGCCGAGGTTATCTCAAAAGATTACTTCACCTGTCTTTATATCGGTACGGATGCGTCACTTTCACAGTAAGTTCCAGAGACAACATCTCAACGTCGCGACCATTATCCATCATAATCCATACCTTTGATCATAGATTCGTGCACCCTCAGGCTTTGAGAGGCCACCAGGCAAAGAATCTAGCCCTGCCAATGCCGTGCTGCTGGATAACGGCAAGATGTCGATATAGCTTTTTTAAGTGTGGGGAGTCGATGGAATCCTGTGCAAGATAATCTTTGGAAGTCGCATAATGCTGCGCCCCTGCATTGAGCGGCCCGAGGCCCTCATACATACGATGTCTTATACCGGCGCAGCGGGCATCTTCAGCTCAAGATTGAAGAAGTCTATGAAGAGTAGATTGTCGTTTCCAAAAGCAAACTCCACATGACCTGCTACAAAGAAAGTTGTTCGATCCGATTTGATTCAAATCAAGTAGTTCTCATCCCATGTCCCGGTTCATAGTCGGCGATAACATAGAAGTCGCTGAGAGAGTTGCATCATGAGGTCGGCACGAGGCAACGTGTTCGCCCTAAGTTCCATGCCGATGCTAATGTATGATTATGTATATTTGAAACGGAGCCTTTGTATCGAACCATGCGACTAAAGTCGAACAAACAAAGGCACTCCTTCAAGGTTTCACGCTTTATTGTTTAATTATCAGTTTCCCTCTTTTACTTGTACTTCAATCATGCCACCCAAAGCAGCTCCTGGTCAACCTCGTGGAGGCGGTGGAGGTGGTGGAGGCGGCGGCGGCGGCGTCAGAGGTGGTCGTGGCGGTGGTCGCGGCGGCCCTCGCGGTGGACCACCTCCTCGCGGCGGCCCAGCTGGGGGAAGAGCAGTTCATACTCCCACTGGTCCCGCCGCTCTGCCTGGAAGCCATGTTCAGGCCGTAGGGGTGAAACGACCTGGATATGGAACGGCAGGCAGAGCAGTGACAGTATTCTCCAACTTTTTCAAGATAAGTCTCCCGGAAAGCGTTATCCATCACTACGACGGTTGGTATTGGCTCTTTTCAAATCTCGTCCCTCTGTCTGATTTCATCCATTTTTCTTTTTTTACGATACAGTGGGTAAGTGTTGAAGTTGATGATTCTCTGTGTGACCTGCTGTTGATAATCGCGTCGATCTATGTGATCAGTGATCTCACCTGATGAGAAGGTCCTTCCGGCGCGTCTAAACATGGACTTGATCCATCACCTTCAAACTATTGATGCTGTCGACGTCTTTACTCCCCGGGCCGTTTACGATGGCCGAAAGAACCTCTTCGCCCCCAGGGAACTGCCTTTCGGTCCCCAGAACAGCCAAGAGGTGCGCTTATCTGATATGCTACTATACTCATCACTTACATCTATGTAGTTTGATGTATGCCTCTCCGATGACCCCAATCGCAGAAGCCCAGGGGAGAACACGGGGGGCCGTGGTCCTAAGGTGTACAAGATCAGACTGACGAAAGTCGCCCAAATCAACCCCGAGTAGGTTATTTTACCTTTCCAAACGTCACGTTACTGGAATTTGTCTTCGTTAGAGTCCTACAACGCTTTATCCTTGGACAGCAGTCACATGACAACAGTGTTTTGACCGCCTTGACGGTAGGTATTTTCGTAAGGGACGTTTGAATCGATTATTGACGTCGCAACAGGCATTGAATGTTGTCGTTCGTATGGAACCGACAATGAAGTATCCCTTTAATGTTCGGTCTTTCTTCACCGACCGGGAGACTAAGGATATCGGTTCCGGCCTTGTTTTATGGCGTGGATATTTTCAATCAGTGAGGCCCGCAATCGGACAGCTCCTGGTCAACGTTGATATCTCGACTGGAACGATGTATAAGTCTGGAGCACTGATGGATGTCTGTCTCGAGTTCTTAGGTAGACCTGGGCAACACGCGTTGCTCAGCCCGCGAAGCGGTTTGCCCGATCGTGAGCGAATCCGTTTGCAACGTTTTATTTCAGGCATCCGAGTCAAAACAACATACGCCGGGGAAAACAAAACCCCTCGCGTCGTCAAGAAATTGAGCAGTGCAGGCGCTGCAGATTTAAGTTTCACCTTGCGGGATGGAACTAGTAGGACCGTGGCTCAGTATTTCCAAACGATCCTGAACCGTCCTCTGAGGTTCCCGAACAATCTTTGCATTGAGGTAAGTCTGTTCGCAGGGGTCTTGAAACATCTTATCGGGATTTGTAGGTTGGCAGTGGTGCCTTGATTCCTGTGGAACTATGCACGATTCCACCAGGTCAAATCATGCGGAAGCAGGTTCCACCTGAGAAAACAAAGGACGTTCTGGAATTCGCTACAAAGCGACCTGAAGCCCGCCTCGCTAGTATTACAAACGGTCTTTCGGTACGACCTTCGTCATTTACAGCGCGCTATACTGAGCAGTCTTGTTAGGTCCTTCAATACGGTCAGTCGGAATACGTGCGCCAGTTCGGCATGCACGTCGAAGATACTACTGGACCACTTACCGTAATGGCGCGGGTCTTGCAACCGCCGAAATTGAAGTACGGCCCAGGTAGTGCGCAGCCGACCATTGTCTGTATTATAGTTTGTTTGCATTGCTGCGTACTGATCTTTTCCTGTTCTTTAGACACCAAGTAATGGCGCGTGGAATATGTAAGTGTTGTTATACGATATCTCTTCGTTGCTCATAGGTTTCCAGGATCGATAAACGATTCTTCAGACCTGCAGCTATTGACAGGTGGATCGTTGTGGTTTATGAGAGGCAGCAGCGGTTTAACCCACAGGCTGCACAAGACATGATCGATGGCATGCTAAGGAGTTTCAGAGACGTTGGTCAGTGACTCGTATGACAATATATCAGGTCAAATTACATTCGAACAGGTATCCGTATCACCGACGATAAGCCGATGGTAACCTGGCAAAACGGTCAAGGCCGGATTGCGGACGTAAGTTGTGTTCTCCGAAGACTGTTTGAATCTGACTCGAACGCCTACTTCAGCAACTGCGTGCCGCTGGCACCGAGTGTTTCCAAAGGACAAAACAGCGCCCACAGCTCATCGTCGTAGTTCTTCCCGAGAACGGCAATGACATTTACACTGCAGTTAAACAGTAAGTTCCTTGGCATTGTGTTGTATCAATAACTCATGGTCTTCTGTATAGTTTTGGGGACATTACAGTAAGGCTACTTGATGGATTCGTTATATGACCTCTGAAATTATGACTTTAGGTCGGTGTCGCAACCCAATGCCTGAAGAGTCAGAAATGCTTCCGTGCAAAACCGCAATATTACGCGAACGTCTGCCTTAAGTACGTAATTGTTAATTGAACACTAAATTTCGTTTGATGTTTTACTCCTTATAGGGTCAACGTTAAGCTGGGTGGTATCAACACTATTCCAGATCCCCAGTCGGTCTCGGTTCTTACCGATCCTCGTAACCCCACCATCGTCATGGGTAAGCCCCATTGTTGCTTTTTTCTATCCTAAAGTCAAACAGTCCGCCAGGTGCCGACGTGATTCATCCTGCGCCTGGCTCTGATGGCCGTCCTTCATTCACGGCACTCGTCGGCAATGTTGATTCTGATACCGCGAAATACATCGCTACAAGCCGTGTTCAAGCCTCTCGGGTTGAGATCATCGAAGATCTCCAGGACATGGCAAAGGTGAGCATTTTCTCCGTATAACTTGCTTGCACTAATTGCGCACTCTTAGCACGTCCTGAGTATGTACATGAAGTATCGCCAGTTCGCGGAGAAGAAGACGGGGAATCTTGCCCCTACACGTCTCATCTTTTACAGAGGTTCGTTGCAGAAGCCATTCATACCCTTTCCATATGCTGAGCATACAACGTAGATGGTGTTTCTGAAGGTCAATTCAAGCAAGTTCTCGATTCTGAACTTAAGGCGATCAAAGGCAAGTTCGTGTTACTTTTGGGACTGTCGAAATCTGACAACCTATTCAGACGCTTGCGCGGAGTTGAAGATCAACCCAAAGATCACCATTATCGTGGTTGCGAAACGTCACCACGTTCGCTTCTTCCCATCTGGCTCAGGGTCGAATGAACAGGACAAGAGCGGCAACTGCCTCGCAGGCACTGTCGTCGACCAGGTTGTTGCCCACCCCACGGAGTTCGACTGGTACCTGCAGAGCCATGGCGGTCTGCTAGGTACGAGTCGCCCCGCGCACTACAACGTGCTCTACGATGAGAACGAATTCAGGTGAACTCACCTCCATGCTCCTATGTGGTGGATTGTATGCTGACAATGGCTATGTATCTAGCGCCGACGGTCTACAATCTCTTTCCTTCGCTTTATGCCATGTATATGCACGGTCAACTCGCTCTGTTTCGATCCCCGCCCCTGTATACTGTAAGTCCATGTCCAAGGTGCTCGCCGGCAACGACGTGACTGAACTACTCATCAGATGCAGATATTGTCTGCTCGCGCGCAAAGAATCACTACGACCCTCAAGGGAATGTTGATTTCTCTGATTCTGCAACTCAGCTCGACACAGCCCAGGCTGAGGGCGCCTTGGAGGCGTACAAACGTGGATTCAAGCCTTTACATGCCAACATGGCAAGTTTGATGTACTTCTCTTGAACACTGCTGCTTTACCTACTTAATCACTTCGAAGCAAATAACGGAGTCTTCTTTTCTTTTCTGTGGCCGTGTATGATTTAGTTCCTCTAACTATGTAGTAGTGTCTCATGATAACCTCACCTCTGTAAAAAATACGTACGTTGCACGAATACCACTGGGACCCGCATTAGGGGGACC